CCCATCCCCTGCCACCCTCGGGAGGCCCTGACCAGCTCTCTGCCCACCAGCGAGAAGGCGCTGCAGAGCAACCACTTTGAGCTGAGCTTGCGCACCGAGGCCACACAGGGGCTGGTGCTGTGGAGCGGCAAGGCCACAGAGCGGGCCGACTACGTTGCCCTGGCCATTGTGGATGGGCGCCTGCAGCTGGCCTACGACCTGGGCTCCCAGCCCATGGTTCTGCGCTCCACCGTGCCGGTCAACACCAACCGCTGGTTGCGGGTCAGGGCACACAGGTCAGCAGGGAGCCCAGGACACACTGAGAATAGCGGCGGGCGGTGCCTGGACTTGCCCGGCCAGGGCCTGCCTGGTCACTCATGGCTAGGGTGGGGGTTTTTGGGGGGTGAGGTCACTGCCAGCAAGGGGGGAGAGACAAGAGGATGTGGGAGCAGCAGCTATGACCAGGAGACTCCTGATCTGACAAGGGAGTCCCTACTCTGCTCAGATGCTGGCTGGGGACATGTTCCTCTGGGCTGAGCCTGGCCATCCTCTCCAGCAAAGTTTGACCCACTTGAGGCCCCCCTGCCCTGGCCACCAGGTACTCTCCTGGGGGTCAGTACTGCCCCATCCTGGCCTCCAGGGGTGACATTTGGTGGTGGTCCCCAGGGCGTGGCACCTGCTAGGAGTCGAGTGAAAGGGATGTGGGGGTCAGGATCTGGAGGTGGTAGGAGGGGCCCTCTGGAGCCACCTGATGGCCTCCTCCCACCCACACCCCCAGGGAACAGAGGGAAGGTTCCCTTCAGGTGGGCAATGAGGCCCCCGTGACCGGCTCCTCCCCACTGGGTGCCACACAGCTGGACACAGATGGAGCCCTGTGGCTGGGTGAGTGTTTTAGGGGGAGGCCATGGTGGGGGCAGCCAAGGGTCTCAGACAGACCCCATCCCCTGGGGCTGGCAACCAAGAGTGGCATCTGAGTTGACCCCATCCAGGACAGCAGATGGGCCGGCCCGGGTAGGGCTGTGTCTCAGCCCCTGCAGTTCCCAGGGTGGGGTAGGGCCAGTCGGCTGGTCACTGGGTCCCCCTGGGCACTGACAGGCCCCAGGTGACTCACCTCGTCATTCTGGTGCCAGCATCCAGGCCTGCCCATCACTGAGTCCCAGCCGGGTGACCTCCCCTCTGACTTCCCTCAGGTGGCTTGGAGAAGCTGCCAGTGGGCCAGGCCCTGCCCAAGGCCTACGGTACGGGCTTCGTGGGCTGCCTGCGGGACGTGGTGGTGGGTCGGCGCCCGCTGCACCTGCTGGAGGACGCCGTCTCCAGGCCGGAGCTCCGGCCCTGTCCCACCCCGTGAGCCGTGCTGCAGCCCACCACCACCCTGCTGTAATTATTTTCTATTTTTGTAAACTCGTTGCTGTTTTGATATGATTTTTTTGCCTGCGTGTTGGCCGGAGGGACTGCTGGCCCAGCTCTGTCCTGTCCAGGCTGGCGGGCTGTGGAGACAGACTCTGTGCCAAGAGATTCAAGGGGACGCAGCAGCATGGAGGGCTCGGCTTGGACAGCAGCCCCAGGAAGCGCCCCTTGGCCTCGCGCCCCCGTGGCCCAGCCCCTCGTGCTGTGTTTCCCTTGTGTGTCCACCTGTGCTGAGCCCTTGTGTCGTCCGGCCTGTCGGCAGACTCTACACACATACATCATCCACTTTCCATCTGGCGAGGCCCATGTCCTCAGAGCAGAAGGCGCTGCTGGGGTTTGAGGGGGCCTTTCTAGGTTCCCACTAGAGCTGCTCCTCCCCACCACATGTACTGTGGATGGGTTAGCCTCGAGCTGGGCTGGCCCCTCCCGGGCCTCCTGTGCCAATACTGTGACTTAGAAACAATGTTTCTGTTGGGCCACACCGCGCCCCTCCCTCCAGCTGTGTCCACAAGTCCCAGGGTGCTGGAAAGCAGAGCCCAGGCCCAGGCCTGATTGGGGCACCCTGACTCTCAGCTGGCCGTGCCCGTCCACCCAGCCCCCTTGGACATGGCTGTGTCCCCTCCTGACACCCCAGTTCCCGTGAGGAGCCCCAAGAGGGAGCAGGGCCACTGTGAAACCTGGTTGCATCCATGGCTTGCTGCCTGGGCAGCCAGTGTCCCCGTCTCAAGGACAGACATCCCGACCTGACCACCAATCGGAGTTCGTTATGCACTGTTTTCATCTGACACCTGGGCGGCGGGGCTGTCATCTTCCCTGTCCTGGCACAAGAGCAGCTAAGGACACCACACAGCAAACTCTCCCATTCTGGTGTGAGGGGTGGTTGTCCACGTCCACGAAAGACCAGGGGCTGGCCAGGTGTCTGACCGAGGCCAGGGGAGGGGGGCAGGGGTGGCAGAGACATGGCAAAGCCAGCAATGCCTTAAACTGCAACCATGCGTCTCATCGCCTCCCGCCCTGGTCCTGGTGGGGTGGCAGCCCGACCCTCTGCAGTGCCCTCCCACAGCTGGGGCTGATGGGACCCAGAGGCTGGAGGCAGCCCCATATGTCACATTACTAACTCCAGTCTGTGTCTGTGTTAATCACCGTGAAATAAAGTCTGAACACTTTAAAAGAGGAGCTTTTGTCCATCCACACCCGGCACCACTCCCACCAGCCCCCTGGCTGGCTCCTCTCTCCGGTGGCTTCTTGCTGAGATTTGTTGTGTGCGTGGTGCTGGCTTCGAGCTCCCTTAGGCAGCTCTGCATGGAGAAGGGGGCCTGCACTGGGGTGGGGGCTGCATTGGGCAAGGAGACCGCCGCATGCAGTGAATGCAGTTCAGGTGGCCTCCTTGGGGTTGGCAGGCCCCACGTGTGGCCTATGTGTGCCTGCCTGTCTGTGTATCTGTGAGCACAGGGTGGGAAGGGGGCTGTGAGGAGAGGGGGCTGGCTGCACTAAGGGCAGGGAGGGCCTGGGAGGGGGGCATGGGTGGGCTGGGGACGGGAGGGCCTGGGGGGAGCCAGGGGGAGTGTGGGGGTGGCAGGCAGACATTTTCACTGGCCCAGCTGTGAGGGTGGCCATTGGCCCTGCTGGGAGACCCTAAGCAGGAGGCTGAGAGTGGTCAGGCCTGTGGAACTGGGAGCCCCTAACAAGGAGCAAGAAAGAAGGGAGGGTTGTGTGGCCTCCTCTTTGGAACTCCTGACTTTTATTAAAGATGACTAAGTGTTCTTTTTTGATTTTGTGTTAATAGGAAAAATCACAAAATGAAAATAAGAAAACAGAAAACAGCCACAAGCTCAGCCCCCAGGTGACCCGTCAGGCCCGAGGCATTTGCTTTCTCATCCCTTATTTGTTAGCCTGCTTGTTCAGGGGTTGCGTGTGCAGTGGTTGCTGTGTGTCAGGCAGCTGTGAGGTGCTGGGACCCGGGGTGGGGGGTGGGGGGCGGGGATAAGCAGGTGACAGTGAGTGCAGGGGACGGGGGCAGGACTAGCCTGGGGCTCCAGGAAAGGTCTAGGAAAAACTCAAACCCAGACCTGAAGGATGTTGCTGGAGCGAGGGTGTGAAGGCCTGAGGACGGCAGGAGGCGACTGTCCATCAGTGCAAGGGCCCTGAGCTGGACAGAGGGTGCTCTGGGCAGAAAAAGGAAGTGCAGGGCCAGCCTCAGCAGCTGGGGGCCAGGGCACATGCCCGAGAGCTTGTTGGTGAGGGTGGTAGGAACTGGACGGAGATGGGGAAGGCAGATCCCTTGGGGCCTCGTGGGCCAGGAAGAGGGCCTGGGGGCCTGCTTGAAGAGCTGCAGGAAGCTCCTGGAGGAGTTTAAGCAGGAGTTGGTGGGACAGAGCAAAGGAGAGAAGGGAGGGGTTTGGGGTAGAACGGATGATTGGCCTGTGCTGCGTTAGACTTGCTGGGAGAGGCCCTAATGGAGATGAGGTGTGGCTGGAGCACCTGGGTGTGATGCATCTGGAGGGGCTGGGGTCCAGGAGCTGAGAGCCACCTGAGTGGTCTCCAGAGACCCCAGGGCACTGGTGGAGGGAGGGCTGAGGCCCTGCAGTAAGGGAGCAGCTGGGCTCAGCTGAGTGCTGAGTGAGGGGAGAAGAGGCCCCCACGCTGGGAGGAAGGTGAAGGTGGAACGGCGAGGCTGGGAGGACCAGGACAGGGTGCCCATGCTTCCAGAAGGAGGAGGGACTCTTGGGGCAACTGCTTCTGAAGATCAGGACCCTCAGGTGGCCGGGAGAGAGGTGACCTGGGTGAGTGGGAGAGGAGGAGCTGTGGGCACAGCAGTGGTGGGTGGGATTTGGGGTCAGGGGTTGGAAGCAGCAGCAGGTTGCATGCCAGGTGCACCATACTGAAAACGCAGCGGGAGAGGCTGGGCAGGAGAGCCCAAGTGAGGAAGGGTGGTGCCCCCCAGGGACAGGCTCAGGAAAGGTGGTTTGGCCAGTGGGGCAGAGAGGAGAAAGTGATTGTGGCTGTGGGCCCAGGAGACAAGCAAGCCTGGTGGGGAGGCCAACTTTGAGGAGCAGTTGTCTCAAGAGCAAAGGCCCTAAGGCCAAACGAGGTGTCAGGTCTCAGGAAGTGGGGAGACTCCAGCGAGGGTGGTGGAGGCAGGGAGAGAGGGAGGCAGCCCAGGTGGAAGGGGTCAGAGGGAAAACCCGGGGTCCACCCTCCCACCTTCGCCGCTCTGGGGCCTCCGGGAGCGCGGGGTGGGCCTGTTCCGACCCCTCCCCACCCCAGCTGCAGGGAGCGCAGCCCGCTCCCCTCCATTACAGAGGCGGCGCCTAGAGATTCTTGGAAGGAAGGCGCCCTGACGGAGCAGGACCACCGACCCGTGTTAATCGCTTTGACGCTCCACTGCGGAGGCGGCGGATAGCCGGGCTGGTGGCCACTCCGACCGAGCCGCGCGTGCGCAGCCCTTGGGGCTATAACTGGGCTCCCTCGAAAATTTCGCTTTTATCCCAACTTCCAAGCGCGTCAGGCAGGCGTGGGCGCGGCGCCTTTAAGGAGGCCGGTGGCGGGGCCCGCGGTGGGCGGGGGCCTGGGGGCGGGGCCCGCGGTGGGCGGGGCCCGCGGTGGGCGGGGCCTCCTCGGAGCGCCTCGAGGGCGCGGCCGCCTGGACCGGCTAAAGAGCGGCGCGGAGCAGACATGACCTCGCGCAGGTGAGCCCGACGTCGCGACCCCGGGGGATATGCTTCGGGCCGCCGGCCACCGGCCGCCGGCGCGGGGCGTGGAAGAGATGCGGCCCGGGACGTCTCCTCGCTCCGCCGGGCGCCCCCTAAGCCTACCGTCCTGACACCGGCCCCCTCCAGGCTAGGGCTGGACGCCTGGGTCCCGGGCCCGCGAGACCCGGCCTCACTCAGGCGGGTGGAAAGGACTTTTTCAGATCGAGGGCCGGGGCTGGGTGAAGGTCAGAAGTACTCTGACCCTAGGGAGCAGATTGTGCCCTGCAGGTGGGTGGGTGGTGGTGGCTGGAGCCTAGAGTGGGCAGTAAGTGTCAGGACAGTGGTAGACCCTCCCTCTCTCCTTCCCCTGGACTCCTTGCTCTGCTCCAGGCTCCCTTTGGGCACCAGAGATGAGTGGCATGTGGCAGGGGCACCCCTCCCTTCCCTAGGCCTGAAACCCGGGGCGGCAGGAGGCAGTCTAGTCCCCGCTCTAGACTTGGCTCCTTGCCCCTGCCTGCCTGCGAGGACCAGTCCACCTCCAGACCCTCCTGAGGGCCAGGTTTAGGAGGCAACCTCCCTGGCAGGGATGTGTGTGAGAGCTTCCTGCCTCCGTGGGGAGGAAAGTGGAAGTGTGACAGGAACTGGGCACGTCCTGCCCTTTCTGCCGGCCCGACTCTCTGGGTGTGTGCACACGCGTGGGAGCTCAGACTTCAGCGTGCATGTGGATGTCAGTGGGGAACCACACAGCTGTGAGACACATGGCACATTCAGAACACCCCCACTGAGGCTCGGTGAGCCAGAGGTCACAGGAGGGGTCATCCTATGACCCCGAGTGACCCCCTAGATCAGGGAGGGCAAGGACTAGGTCTGATTTGCAGGGCCCACAGGGCTTCTCCCTGCCTGAGCCGGGTCCTCAGCCCAGAGACCTCTGCCTCTACCTTCTGCCAGCAGCGCCTCCGCGGTGAGGGTGCCAGGTCCTACGAGGTGTGCTGAGCAGGCAAGCAGACACAGTGGCCTCGGCAGGGTCCTGGGCCCTCAGACTCAGGAATAGTCAGGAGGTGAGTTGGGTCTCTAGGAACCTGCCAGGCCCAAAGTTTAACATCCAGCCAGAACTGAGGGAGGAGGGGATTTTGGGGTCTGGTTGGAGTGACCCCTCAGGCTTCCCTTGGCCTCACTCTTCTTTGTCTCCTGGGCAGGTTCTGGCATTCAGAGAAGGCCGTGTCCATGTCACGTGCATGTGACCCTGGGCCAACCTGGGAAAGCCCCGGGTGGGGCTCTGCCGGCCCTCGCCAACCCCTCCCGGCCCCACCCTGGGATGACCATCTGGACTGTCACTCCTCCGGCCCCTGGGCCCCTGCCCACACCCCTATCAGGCCTGGGCAGGCCCAACCAAATAAAGCTCATCCCCCCATGCCCGCCCCCACCCAGGGCCCCTTCCTGTGGCCCTGTGGTTTGTGGGTCAACGGGCGCCTCTGTGAGCACCTCTCGCCCCAGGGCTCTGGTGTTGTGGCACAGGGCTGGGCGCAGGTCCTGCCTAGCTCCATGGTGGGTACCTGGAGGGGCTGGTCCTGTGGGGGCCTGCTGAGCCCCTCAGGCTCCTCTCTCTCCCAGGTTTGGAGAAGAAAAGGTGTCTGATTAATCTGGTCCTATCCAGTCAGAACCAACCCTGGTTGAGCCTCCTCTGGGACCGGGAGGGCCAGGCCTTGAGCCGAGGGGCAGGGTGATAGGGAAGGACACCACCTGCGCTTTGGGGCCCTCAGCCCTGGAATTCCAACCCGGGACCCTTCTCTACTGGCCTGTGTGGCTCCCGCTGTCATGGAAGCGTCTCCCCTCAGGCGTGTCCAGCCTCATAGCATGTGTGTGTGAGTGTGTTGACAGGCTGTTTATGTGTCTCTCAGGGTTGGAGCTCTGCCATCTACAGATGGGACACCAAGGCCATGGAGGGACTGGACCCAGAGGCCACTCTGGGTTCAGGATGATCTCATAGGTGACCTGGGCTATCCTGGGCTCCTGAGCACTGACTGGGCTCAGCGGTCCTTGAGATGCCCAGGCCATTAGATCTACTGGGGGCCCTGTATGCCCTGTCCACCCCACCTGACCCCTCTTCCGGGCCATCCTGGCCATAGGCCACAGCAGAGGTCACCAGGGCAGAGCTGAGTCACTGACCTACCACGGAGCAGGGAGCCTTTCCGCACAGGTGACCCTGGGCCCTGGCACAGAGCAGGTGTGGGCATTGGAGACAGGGACCCAGAGTCTCTACCTTCTCCCCACCCCTCAGCCAGGGGCAGCAAGCCACACTGCCCTGCAGGGCACCAGGCTCCACCTCCAGGCCTGGTAGGGGGCTATGAGGCCCCACCTCGGCCTGGGACTGTGGGAGGGCGGTGGCGCGAGCTGCTGCAGCCTTTCAGGACGCCCCACCCCCGGAGATTTCCACCTGATAGACCCAGTGGCAGTTTGTGGGGAGGAGAGGGGATGGAAAGTATGATTGAGAGTCCCCGAAAGGACAAACAAGGTGCCCTTCACCCCTCTCTGCGGCTTTGATCAGGGCCTCCATCCTCTGCCCTGCCCCTGCACTCTGGGCATTGCCCATCTTGGACTGGAGTCTGAGGCTGCTGGGGCTGGGGGGAGGGGGCATCTGGGCACAGGATGTGGTTCAGCAGGTGTCAGAAGCCTTCTTCTGAGTTCCAGCACCCCCCGACCTGCAGCGTCCCAGCACGGGTCCAGGGATGGCACAAAGCCATCACCCTCTTCCTGGTGGCCCTGCCTGCTCTCCTGTGACTGGCTCTGGAGGTCACCATGTGGCAGCTCCTCCACCAGGAAGCCCTCTCTGGCAGCCTCATCTACTGGACACTCAACCAAAATTGCCCCCAGGTCCGGCTCCCCTGTGAGCCAGAGTGAGAGGGAGCTCGAGACACCAGGCCCAAACCATGCTCAGGAGGTGCCTGGCTGGCAGCACCCCCCTCCCCCCAGGGAGAGCGTGGACAGGAGTGTTGCTCACACTAGGTGGCCCTAGACAGGTCATCTGAGCTTCTGGGCCTATGCGAACTAGTTCGTGGATCCCGGGGGTACATTGAGGTCAGAACAGAGCCTGTCCTCATGGGGTCTTAGGCTTGGTGATGAAGTCACAGGATGACAGACAAACACAGAAGTGTGACACACCTATCTGCTGTTAGCAAGTGCCACACGTGGACACTCGGCACGGCAAGGGGGCCACAGTGTCAGCCAGGAGGGCATCTTGGGAAATATGAGCTGAGGGTGAGGGGGCATGAGCTGTGCCCCAGAAGGCCAGCTGGAGGTGGCCAGACAAGGGTGAGGTCAGTGAACAGAGAGAACAGGAGGATTTCCAGTGATGAGTCCACGAGGCATGTGTGTGCTGAGAGGCACAGAGGGCCACTGGCGAGCTTTAAGCAACTGTGATGTGCATTTCCTGAGACTCCCTCTGTCTGCCATGGCTTGGCTCTAGGGTCAAGGGTGAGGCCCTGGAACTGACAGTCCAGGCGAGAGCTGGCGGGCGCTGGCCGGCGGGGAAGTGGTTCTGGGTGCGTTTGGAAGGTAGGACATGAGGTGCCAATGGACTGGGTGCTGGTGCCGGGAAGCAGAGAGGTTGCAGGGAGGGACCCGAGCACTGGTGAGCGCGGCTCCCTTCACTGAGCGAGGATGATGCGGAACAGGCTTGGGGCATTTTCAGGAGTTTTGAATTTTGCAAACATTAAGATGGAGATGCTGCTGCCTTTCCAAACAGATGCTGAGAAGAGTCGTGTCTGAGTCTGAAGCTCAGAGCCCAAGTGGGGCTGGAGGCATAGATAGCGTGTGGATGTGTAGACGTTTTGGGCACAGGTGGGGGGCTCCGGCACTGAGGGCTTAGAAGGAGGAGGAGAAGGAAGGCCTGGCCAGGGAGGCAGAAAACCAGGGAACATGGTGTGCTGCCGAGGACAAGCTAGTGATGAACATTTCTAGGAGGTGTGGCTACCTGTGTCACCCGCTGCTGGGGACCAAGGGCTGACCACTGCCCCGGGAGGCAGATGAAGACCCTGAGAGCTGAGGTCTCAGTGGGGCTGGAGGGCAGAGGGGAACAGGTCTGTGAGGACCCCGGCGAGGCAGGTAGTCAGGCAGTGTTGACCGGCACAGACCAGGAGAACCTTCTGTGATGATGGAAAAGATTCCTACCTGCACTGTCAACAGCCACGTGTGGCTTTTCACAATGGAATGTGGCCAGTGTGGCCGAGAAACGGGAATTTTTATTTTGTTGAATTTTAATGCATTTACAGTTACATCCCACGCACACCACGGGTTGGACCCATGCTGCGTTGGACCATGCTGGTATAGACCAAGCACAGAAGTCTCCTTGGAGGGGTCAGGATGGGAGCTGAAGGCAGGGGAGGCCTGAGAGGGAGCGGGGGGACCTGGAGGGAGAAGGGTCCAGGGCTGCTTTCAACAGGAGATGTGATCTGATCGCTGTTCTAGAAAGATGTCTGTGGGGACAGGATCGTCCTTGTTCCCATCCCGCTAGTCAGTGTGGTGGGAGGGTGGGCCCACGGCCCACCCAGAGCACAGCCGCCCCCACCCCATCGGTGCCCAGGTTATGACTGCAGACAACCGGTGGGGCCGGGGGGTGCTGCAAGGCAGCAGAGGTGGAGTCGGGGCCCTGGCTTCTTGCTAACACAGGATCTCTGGCCCCCACTGTGTGTCCTGTATGTGGTGACCAGGAGATGTCCCCGCCCCTCCCGCGGTGACTCTTCAGTGCCTGAGGTAGATGAGTTGCAGAGTGACGGTGTTACCACTGGAGGATGGTGAAGCGGCAGAGGCTGGGGGAGCCTCTCCTTCCTTGTTCCTCCCTCGTCCCTTCTTGCTGACACCCTGAGACACTCTGGGGCTCCACGTGCAAGTTAATCCTGGGCCCAGAAATTCCCGCCCTGAGGGCAGGGGACACACTGGGACAGCAGCCACCAGGGCACAGAGAGCACAGTTATCTCAGACAGGGGCTCCTGTGTAGCCTGATGGGGGGCCCCGTGGACTATCCTCCATCTCGTGTGGAGGCTGTGATTTGCTGATGGGCTGTGAGGGGAGCAAGGGAGCCCCACGTGACTCTGGGGGACCCCTAGGGCCTTTGGCCAAGCTGGGAGGCCCTTGAGGGGAGAGGAAGAACAGGCACAGAGAGTGGAGTGTCTGTGTGACACTGGAGGGGTCTGCCCCCACCTCCAACCCGCCTGTGTCCCCGGACCCCAGCCCCACCTCCCTCCCCATGACTTCAGACCCTATGGTCACTGCCGGTGGAAGGTTGTGAGTTGGGGGCCGCCCACAACAGGTGTCGTGGGTGTTTGCCACTGAAACGTTGACAGAGGTTGGGTGTGGGTCAGGGTGGGGCGCAGAGTGCTCAGCATCCCCCCGGCTCTCTGCGGTCACCGACTTGCTGTCCCCATTCCAGGTGGTTTCACCCCAACATTGGCGGGGTCGAGGCGGAGCAGCTGCTCCTGTCCCAGGGCCAGCACGGGAGCTTCCTGGCCAGACCCAGCAGGAGCTGTCCCGGGGGCTTCACACTGTCTGTCAGGTGGGTGGTGCCATGGCCAGGCGTGGACAGTCTGCGGTCCCAGGAGGCCTCAAAGGGTCTGAGCACCCTCAGCTGCAGGCGCAGGTGGGGATCAGGCTCCCCAGTCCTCCCAGAGGGGTGGTGGGCAGCATCCTGGGCAGCGAGGACCCTGCTGGCAGCTGGATGCCCAGAGTCTGGTTTTTGTGGGGGTGGGAGCCCAGCATTCCAGGCCAGGTGGCCCTGGGCTTCAGGAGGGCTCTGTGAGGTGGGGCGTAGGCAGGACCTCTGAGGGGTCTGGTGGGGCGGGCAGGGGACCTCAACGGCTGTGATTGTGCTCCTGTCTCCTGGGGATGCTGCACACTGCTGCCCACTGGGGATCTGGCCAGAGCCCACAGAAGGGCCATTGTGTGGGGAGGAGGGGCAGGGAGGGGCTGCAGCCAGCATAGTGGACAGCTGGACCTATGTCTGCCCTGGATGGGGAGGTGTCAGTCTGTGAGGAGCAGTGGTGGTCTGGGCAAGGGGCTTCCAGAGGGCTCTAGATTTTCCCAGGTTCTCTGCTAAACCCAAGGCAGCAGGTGGGGCTGAGGTTAGCCTCAGGATGGACTTCCCTCACCTTGGGGCTTTCAGGCCACACTGTGGGCCTGGGGGAAGCTCTCTTGGGGGCCCTGTTCCAGTAGTCCGGAGCCCCTGGACAGGTGGTCTGGGGTGAGGCAGAGCCCGTCATGGAGGGCGGCCCTAGCCTCCGCCTCCAGGCCAAGGGAGAGTCAGGCGTATGGCCTGCAAGGCCAGTGCTGGCTGCCCAAGGGGCAGTGTGGGTGGGTACCCACCACCCAGGTGGGGCCTGCCCCTTGGCTGGACCTGGAGCTGCTGTGGGAGGGCCTGGCCTTGGCGCTGTTCCTGGCATGGGATCTGCAGAGGTGGAGACCTCAGGGCAGGGAAAGCCCAGGGACTGTTCCGGAAGCTGAGGATGGTGATGGGAAGAGGCGGCTGGTGGGAGCAAGGCCCCAACGCCAGCTGGCGCACCGCCCTCCCAGGCGCCACGACGAGGTGACCCACATTAAGATCCAGAACACGGGTGACTACTATGACCTGTATGGAGGAGAGAAGTTCGCGACGCTGGCAGAGCTGGTGCAGCACTACATGGACCAGCGCGGGGGACTGCTCCGCGAGCGCAGCGGGGCCCCCGTCGAGCTGCGACACCCGCTGGGCTGCCAGGACCCCACGACCGAACGGTGAGCGGCTGGCGTCCACGTCTGGCCAGCGTCTATTTGTCGGCGTATGTGCATATGTCCGCGGGGGCGGGGCCTGCGACGTGTCGCGGCCCCCCGGCTCAGGGTCGGGACTGGGCAGAGCTGCGGCACAGCTGAGGGGACTTGCACCCCTCCCCTGGGTTCTGGGCCTCGTTTTTTCCAGGTCCTGGCACCGCAGGGGTGGGAGTGGGGCAGGAACCCTGCGGGCAGTCTCACCCCTGCCCTCCCGGGCTGGTGACCTGGGGTGAACAGGCCCCTCCAGCCTCGGTTTCCCCCTCAGCACCTGAGAGAAGCGGGTGGGCTGGTCTGGGGAGGCGGTTCTGCCCTCCTTGCGAGGACCATGCTGCCACCTGGTGGCCGCCCCAGCCACACAGAGCCCGCCTGTCCCGCCTCCTGCGGGCTCCTGGGTCGTTGAAGGTCAGAGAGGTGGGCAGGGCAGACCAGGCCAGCCGGGTGAGGGTGCTGCCTGGGCCCCCGAGTCTGGGTGGGTCTGTTTTTCTGTCTCTGTGTCTGTGTCTTAATGTCTGTCTCGGAGCCTCTGGCTGCATGTAGGTCTGTGCCCCTCACCTGGCCAGGCTGCTGCCCCCAGTCTCACCTGTGCTCCCTGCCCCACTGCCCTGGCCAGGTGGTACCATGGGCACCTGTCTGGCAAGGAGGCTGAGAAGCTGCTGATGGAGAAGGGACGTCCAGGCAGCTTCCTGGTGCGGGAGAGTCAGAGCAAGCCTGGGGACTTTGTGCTGTCGGTGCTCACACAGCAGCCGGACAAGGCTGACCGCCGGCCTCGGGTCACTCACGTCATGATTCACTTCCAGGTGGGAGGCTGTGGCGGGGTGGGGGTGTGACTCGAGAGGTGGTGGCCAGGCCCCTCACTGCCACCTCCACCCCACAGCCAGACGGGAAGTTCGACGTGGGGGGTGGGGAGCAGTTCCACACTCTTGGAGACCTGGTCGAGCGCTACAGGAAGAACCCCATGGTGGAGAAGTCGGGGGCCGTGGTGCATCTCAAGCAGGTATGCCTCGCGTGGCCCTTGGGATCCAGAGTGGGCTTCTCCCCCTGGGGGGGCCCCCAGGACACAGGCACAGCCCTACCCAGGAGAAAGGGCACCAGGCAGTGCCGGGGCAGTGGCCCTGGGGCGGCCGACGGGAAGAGTGTGGGACAGGGCTGCTGCCCCTAGGGGAGGGCACTGTGTGGTCTGTGGGGTCCTGCTGAGCTTGGACCGGGCCTCTCCCTGCAGCCCCTCAAGGCCACGAGGATCAATGCCGCAAGCATCGAGAACCGCGTGCAGGAGCTCAGTAAGACTACAGAAGCCACCGAGAAGGCCAAGCAGGGCTTCTGGGAGGAGTTTGAGGTGCCTGCCTGCTGCCCATCCCCCCAGACTCCTGTCCTCTGGGGCTAGGGCGAGGGCCAGCGGAGGGCTGCAAGCCGGGAGGGGTCGGTGCGGAGGGCTCTGGGGAGGGCTGGGCCTCCGGCTGACCCTCCGCTTCCTCAGATGCTGCAGCAGCAGGAATGCCGGCTCCTGTTTCCCCGGAAGGAGGGACAGCGGCCAGAGAACAAGCCCAAGAATCGCTACAAGAACATCCTCCCCTGTGAGGGCTGGGGTGGGGCCGTGTGGGGCCCCACCCCCCACATGCAGGCCCATCTGCCAGGGCGGGCTTGAGGGTGGAAGCAGGGGGCTGTATCCCACCATGGTGTGATGTTCCCTCTTGCACATGCAGGGCCCCTTCCTCCTCGTCTCTGCTCCCCACCGGGTCGGTGGGTAAGGAGGCAGGGAAGCCATGAGCTTCCCGCTTCCCTGGAGAGCTGAGTGGCATCTTACCTTTCCCAGTTGACACCACCCGTGTTGCCCTGCATGACGTGGACCGCAGCGTCCCTGGAGCTGACTACATCAACGCCAACTACATCAGGGTGCGTGTGCATGGGGCAGGTACACACGTGGGCTGGCATGGATCAAACAGGACATCTTGAGCCATGTCTGGCCACACACCAGTCACCCTGTCCCCCTGTCATGAGTCTGGAGCTCCTGCTGGCAAGCCTAGGAAGAGCCAGGACCCCCAGTGATCCATGGACCCTGGCAGGACAGTAGATACTCATGGGGGGAGGGGGGTGCAGCAGTCCCCCAGGGGGTCCTCAGAGTGGACTGGACTAAGTATTGGTCCTAAGCACCCTCAGCCTGGGGTGGGAGGGGCTATGTGCCAGCCCCTCCCCCCACCCACCCCTGCCCTGGGACTACTTTGCGTATCATTGGCCTCCATTTGCTTCTGTTCTCTGGCATTTTAATTCCTGGAAACAGCAAGCAGTTAATCCTCACCCACTTCCAGAGTGACCCAGAGGAGAAGCCAGGCCATGGACTGGGCAAGGTGTACATCGCTACCCAGGGGTGTCTGCAGACCACAGTGGCTGCCTTCTGGGCCATGGTGCACCAGGAGAACACACGGGTCATCGTCATGACCACCAGGGAGGTGGAACGAGGCCGGGTAGGAGTGTGGGCTCGTCCCCTTGTGTGCTCACCTGGACTTGTGTCAGTGGCTGGCCGAGCCTTGCTTCTTCAGTCTTTGGGACCTAGGGGAGTGGGGAGGGCCCTGGAGAGCCCTGTGTGTGCCTGTGCATGCTTGTGCCCCTGCAGGGCACAGGGGCGAGGGTATTGGTGGTCTCCCAGCACGGCTGATGCAGTGCACCCACCCCCCAGAACAAGTGTTTCCGATACTGGCCCCAGCTACATGACAGCCAAGAGTATGGCCGTGTGTGTGTGTGCAGTATGGCTGAGTACCAGGCCCAGGGCTACTGTGTGCGGGAGTTGCAGGTGTGGCGGCCAGACCAGGTAAGCCTGGAGGGCAGCAAGACATGAGGGGCCTGGGTCAGAGTGGTCGGGAAGTTCCCAGTCCACACTGGGGGTGAGGCGGCCCCATCCTGGGAGAACCCTACTTGGCTCCACCCAAACCGACTGGCCTTGGTGGCTTCCATGTCCCTCAGCTCAGTGGGCACAGTCCTGGCCTGGGCTCTGCTGGGCAGTGTATACAGGTGGGCCGCATTCTCAACCCCAGGCTCTAGGTCCCAGGTGCCTGGCTCCAGGGTGGCCTCAGGCCCCCATCGTCTCTGCCTGTGCAGTGTCCCCGTGGGCCATCTCCTGTGTATGCCAGTGATGCCTGTTTCTGTCCCAGGCACAGATCCCTCCCCCAGGTCCCCTAAGCCTAACCACCTGGGGGTCCTGCAGGCCCCTCACATTTGGCCCCACCCAAATGGAACTCACTGACCCTGAAGCCTGCGTCGTCTCCCCATGCTCTCCCTTCCCTTCCCCAGGCTCCTGAGCCACCTGGGGTCATCTGGGGGCCCCCAAGCCCTGAATCCCATCTCTTCCTCCCACCCCCTCCTCGGCCTTGGCCTTGCTGGTCACTTCTGGCAAACTGTGCAGCCCCGGCCTGCCTCTTCCCAGTTCATTCCCTGCGCCCCTCCCACCGCGGGGTCACCGCAGTGCCGGCCACTCTGACCCCTCGCGGGTCCCACCTGGGCGCTGCCCAGACGGCCTTGCCCTGCTCACCAGCCCTCCCTGCCAGGAAGAGCCGCCGCGCGCGGTGAAGCACTACCAGTACTTCAGCTGGCCGGACCACGGGGTCCCGGCCGAGCCCGCCGGCGTCCTTGGCTTCCTGGACGAGGTGAACCGGGCCCAGAGCAGCATGCCCGGGGCCGGACCCATGGTGGTGCACTGCAGGTGCGGCCGGGGCGGGGCCACGCGAGGCCGTGCCTCGAGAGGGTGGGCCTCCGGGCAGGCCTGGGCCTCGTCCAGTGCACTCGCCACAGGCCTCCTGGTCCGTCCCCACAGCGCCGGCATCGGACGCACAGGCACCATCATCGTGATTGACATCCTGGTGGACGTCATCCGCAGGCAAGGTGAGCCACCCCGCCCCTCCCGCCTAGCCCCGTTTCTCCCTCCCTGCCGGCCCCGCCCCTCCCTAAGCGCGCTGGTCCTCAGGGCTGGACTGCGACATCGACGTCCCCACAACGATTCAGCTGGTGCGGCGGCAGCGCTCGGGGATGGTGCAGACCGAGGCGCAGTACAAGTTCGTGTACCTGGCGCTGCAGCGGTACATCCAGGGCGAGCAGCTGCGCCTGCGCGAGCAGGTGGGGGCGGGGCCGGGCCGGGGCGGGGCCTGCAGGGGCGGCTCCGAGGTGACCGGCGGCCCCTCCCCGCAGCGCGCCCGGCCGGAGGAGCCCGACTACCTGAACGTGGGCTCCGCGCCCGCCGACCCCCACAGCAGCCCGGCACCCGCGCCGATCCGGGCGCCCGCCACGTGAGTGGGGCGTCGGAGGGCGGGACGGGCCCAGGGCCTGGAGCAGCGGGGCGCGGCCCGCCAATGGAGGGCGCGCCCGGGGTGGGGAGCGCGTGGCCTGGGGCGCGGGGGCGCGGCCTAGAAGTCGGGGGTGCGGCCGCGACACCGCGCGTGCGCGTCCCCGAACCCCGTGTCCACCCTCAGGACCCCCGAGCCCTCCGGCGGCGTGTACGAGAACCTGCCCGGCCTCGGGCGGTGAGGGCCCCGCGCCCCGGCAGGGCTGGAGCCGCGCGAGGAGGGAGCGTCCAGCAAGGCCGGCCCTCGCGTTCCTCGCAAGGACTGTCTTAAGACAGTTCTGACCGGAGCTCGTCCCGGAGTCGCCGCTCAGACACTCTCGACCAGGCCTGGACGCCTAGAGATGAGGGCGGGGTGCAGTCTCGAGACCCGGGTGTCCCTGCTGCTCCTGGGGCTCCCAGGTGAGGGTACAGGAGGGCAGGCAGGGCTGTCGCTGTCTCTTTGTGGGAGGCCACCAATGACTACCTGCACAATGCAGTGACCACGTGTGACCTTATGTGTGCTACGAGGCTGAATGACCAGCAAGCAGGTGGCCAGTCTGCGCTTGACCTCACTGCAGCCGCCAGTGCTTGTGCTTGGCTCCCCTGCATCCTGTGCACACCCCCTTCAGAGCTGCTCCTCAGCGCTGCCCACAGGTCTGCGATGTGGTCCAGGCAGTGGCTCAGTCATTGCCATGTCCAGGCCAGGCCCATGTCTTCTCATTGCTGTCACATGAGGTTAAATGCTTGTGGAATGAGGGAATTTGTGAGATGCTCATGTGACTGTGTGTACAGCCTCACGTTGGTCTTGCCGGTAACAAGGGTGAGGCTCCATGTGTGCATGACTGGTGTGTGATGGGTGTGATGTCACTGGCACGTGCTCCATGGTCACACCCCACCATCACGGTGGCCCTGTGGCTTTGTGGTGTTCTAAGTAAAATACCCTGTTCTCAGTTTTGTGTCTTTGTTGGGGCTTGGGGCAAGAGTGTGTGTGGTCCCCTCAACTGGGCCCAGCTTCTCCAGGGTCTCCCCTAGCCCTGCAGCCCCAGCCAGAGTCCCGGCTGGTTGGAGCAGGAAGTCGTGGGCTCTGGGGCAAGGGATGCCGAGGCTGAGCCCTGTGTGAGCCCAAACTGGTTGGGCCTTTCTTGGCCACGCCAACCCGGCAGTGCAAGATTCCTGGGGCTGGAAGCAGAACCAGTCCAGGGCCGGGGGCCAGGGGGAGGGGTCAGGACTCCTGCCCATCCCTCGTGATGCTGCACTTTGCCTCTTCACCACCCAGGCCCAGCCTAGGGGGCCAGCCAGAGCCCTCTGCTTCTGTGCAGTGGCTGTGGGCCTTGGTTCCCAGGGTGCATGGGCTCCACCGCTCTCCAGTCAGGGTTCCCACCCAGCAGGACTGTGGGGCCACATGACACGAGTGGGGGCAGGGAGGAAGGCTCCAGACCAATCAGGGCTCCACCCCTGCCTGTCCCAGTGCTCTGGTCTCTCCCTGTCTCCCTGGGGGTGCTTCACAGTCCTGGGGGGCAGTCAGGTCCAGAATTGCTGCAACCCATCCACAGCCTGGAGGGGCAGGAGTTGGACCCATAGGACTTGGGACCCACCTGCCCTAGGGGCTGCTGGGAGTCCCAGCCAGTGTGTGCTGGATTGAGGCTCCCAGGAGCAGGCCAGGCTGGGGCTCCTGGAGGAGGAGTTTGGTGGTACAGGGAGGAGGGTGCACAGGGGAGGGCTCCTTACCAAACATGGATACAAAATAATTTATTTAAAAATGTACAGTTCAGGAGAGTGGGATGGGCACTGAGGGGTGGACTCCGTGGCCAGAGGGCAGGGTCTGCACCCACCCAGGGGCAGGGGCCAGCCCTGTCCAGGGAAGGGGTATGGGAAGGAGCCATGGGTGGATGGTGAACCCCTCCCTTCTCAGTAAGGAGCTGCACCTGCAGGCGATTGTACAAGGAGGGGCCTCGGCAGACTCTCTCCTGGATCTCAGTTTCCCCATCTGTATGAAGGGGGTCGGGGGTCTCTGGGGCCCATGGGAGCCTGTGATTTTTGGAGGCTTTGGGGGCCCTTCTGTCCACCCCATCAGGACCCAGCCCCAGAGAGGGGGGGCAGGGGGATGAATGGAATCTGGGGTCCTCAGAGATGCTGGGGTTCCTCTGGCTCCTGGTGACCAACTGCCAACAGCTGCTGCACCCTGTAACGCCAGCGTGGGCTCCACCCATGAGGCTGGGCAGGGTGGCTGGCCCTAGTTGTCGGCCAGAGGCCCGAGGGAGAAGGCAGCGGCGGTGGCAGCAGTGGTGGGGGCCCGGGGGAGGCAGCGCAGGTTCCCGGTCTTGAGCGCACACTGCACGGGCCAGAGCACCACGCAGAAGAGCAGGAGCAGCAGGGCCGTGACAAGTGCCACACGCCTCCAGGCCCGGCAGCGCGCCCAGCAGTGGGCCAGGCGGCCCTGGGGGCGGGTGGGGCCCAGGGTGGGTGGGGGCGCAGCGGGCTCAGCGGGCTTCCTCAGGCCCACGTCCACGCACATGAACCCGGGTGCTGTGAGGCCAGGCGCAGCGGGCGGGGGGCAGCAGCACAGCCTGGTGCCTTCCAGCCACACAGGCTCCTCATGCTGCAGGTGCGCCGGCATCCTGGCCTGCAGCTGGCGGCTGGTGCGCAGCGCGGGGGCCCCGGCAGCGGGCACAGCCGTGGGCTGCCGGCAGAATGGGCAGGGCACAGCCTCACCACCAGGCTGGCCCATTGGCTGGGCGGCTGCCAGCCGTGCCAGGCACTCCAGGCAGAAGACGTGGGTGCAGGACAGCTCCTTGGGTGTCTTGAAGATGTTGTCATAGCCAGAGAAGCAGATGGAGCACTCTAGTGGGGAGGCCACCTTCTCTGAGCCAGGGGTGCTGGGGGACCTGGGGCCGCTGGCTGAGCTGGGTGACCTGGGACTGCTGGCTGAGCTGGGGGTCCTGGGCACTGTGGCTGTGGGACTGCTCCGGCTGTGGCGTGGCGTGGCTGTGTGCCACACCTGCTGGCCTGATGACATGGCTCTGAGCTATGGGACAAACGAGACCAATGTGAATGACCACAGGCTGTCCTTTTCCCGGAAGGTCCATCTGTTGTCCTCTCCCTGTCTCTCTCTTTTACTTGGCACTAGCCTCGAAGATCCCAGGAGGACACTGCCCACCTGTGGGCACCTCCAGAAAACCCCACCTGTGCCCTGCCCTCCCCACCTCCTCCCAGGCTGAGATGGGGTGAGCGTCCTGGGGGCATCATGCTGACTGGCCGGTGGGCACCTCCTGCTGGCCCTGCCCTACTTGGCTGTGCCACCTGGGCAGAAATAAAGGTGACACTGACAGTGGCCCACAGTAGTTCCTATTTAGGTGTGGGCTCTGCCAGGCTGGGCTCAGGTTATGTAACGCAGCAGTCACAGAGGGTGGGGTGACTCAACCAGGGTCACCGGGCCAAGAGCCAGCACAATCTAGGATCTCATAGGAGGATGTGGCTCTGGGTCAGGTGCAGCGGGTTTGGGCACGGAGCTCAGTGGGCGCATGCCCAACTTGCGGGCAGCTGTGTGCAGGCGGGGTGCCCGGCTGGGTGGGGTACAGGTAGGGACTCTGGGTCTGGGGGCTGGTCTGAGCCAGCTGGGCTGTGGGAAGACGGGGAGGGCATGAGCAGCAGTGGCAGCCAGTGGCCTGAGGAGGGTTTGTCTCCCAGCAGTAACCCTGAGCCTGCAAGGCCAGCCTGTCTGGCTGATGACGAGGGCCTGGTGATGGCCCTCAGGGCCTGGAAATGCACTTCCGCCTGCAGCGAGAATAGGAGGTGGACAAGCCCAGTCTTCCTCTCTGGGCTGGCCCGCTGCCCTGGAGGGTCGCACGAGCACACGCTGCCGTCCGGGAGACAGCGGGATGCCCTCCCAGCCCACTTGCATTTCCTCAGAAGTCTCGCTGGGTGGGCTCAGGTGACTGCCTGCTGACCAGGGCCCACCCAGGCACCCCTGCCCTGCCACGGGGCCCAGGTCTACACCCCAGGCAGCCCCATGAGTCCTGCCTAGGGGAGAGCAGGTGAGGGGAGGTGTTACCCATCACCCTCACAGTGGACAGAGGAGGCCAGGGCCTTTGGGAAGACCCTGGTGGTGTGACCCCATGGAGCCCAGGACATCCCCCAGAGGTGACCCCAAACCTGACTTGCCAATCAGTCCAGGTAGACTGGGGGATGACTTCTTGGTGACGCACCCTGAAGGCTTGGGTGTTGCTACATCATGACTGTGACTGCTGTGAGTCACGGGGACATCCCTATGATGTCATGAGTGCCCCCAGCATCATGGCTGAGATGTCACCATGTCTGGGTGACAGCATTGGCTGCAGGCCAGGCGGTAGCCCCAGCAGGGTCTGGGGGACTGCAGGCTGTCCTCCCCAGGCTGGTTCACCCCACATAGCTCGTTCCCTAGCTCTGAGGACCTGCCCCTCTGGGGAGGTGCCAACCTTGAGCCTGTCCAGGTGGGAGGGGAGTGCCAGCTGGGCTGGCCTTACCTGGTAGCCAGGGGTCAGCGGGGCCTGGGCATGATCCTCTCGGCTGGCCACAGCCAGGATCCAAAGCCCTGAGCTCTCCTGCTCCAGCAGTGCCCCCTCCTTCTCTGGGCCGGCCGGCCTGTGCTCCACCTGGAAGGTGTCCCTCTGCGGAGCTGGCTGCCAGCAGCTGTCCTGATGGCACTGGTCTGGCAGGTGCACCCTCTGCTCTGTCCAGGCAGGTGGGGCACAGGGGATGTGTGTGCTCTTCCAGGTGCGAAGCGCTGTCCCAGGCAGGTCTGAGTTCTCTGGGCTGGGCTACCGGCAGGTGTATTTATATGCTCACGGGGGCGTGCTGGCCAGGGGCGTGGCCTGGGGCCTCTGGGATTGGTTGGCCTCCTGTCCTTTCCCCAGCAGGCTGGGCAGTGGATACCCGGGGAATGGAGACCCAGAGGTGAGAGGTCAGAGCCTGGGGTGGGCTGGGGTCAGTGTAGGCCTCCACAGCCTGGGCAGATCTGGGGGAGTTGGATGTCTGGATAACACCTGCCCCCGCAGCCCTGGGATGCTAGAGCAGCCCCTCTGGAAACAGACCCACTTACCAACCCAGTTCAGGGAAGGTCCTGGTGGCACAGGAGCTCCTGGGGGGGCCTCCAGAGGGGCCCCTCCGAGGAGCCCCCCCAGTCTCAGCTCAGCCTGTCACCCCCCCAACCTCTGCTCTCACTGATCCCACCCCAACAGCCCTGTTCCTGCCCCCTACCTCCGTGCCCACACACATGTGCCATCCCACTGTCCACACGCACGGCCCTCCAAGCTTGCACTTCTGCTGCCCCTGCCCCTCCCCCTGCTCTGGGTCCAGGGAGTGGGGTTAGAGGTCAGGGATGAAGATGAGTCAGGGGCCAGGCTGGCCACAGGAACTTGTTTCAGGTGTCTACTGGGGCCACCCTCGGTTACACACGTAGGGCAAGGACCCTGGAGCCTGAGGAAGCCCCCACCCCCCCCCAGCCAGGGGCTCTGGAAATCTTCCTGGGGGGAAGGGGGAGCAGTTCAGTTACTCAGCATTGGGGCCTAGCAGACCCCAGAGTGACCTGTGCAAAGGCCTGGCTGGGGGCTGAGGCTGGAGGGGAGGGCAGGGATGGAGGGCCTGGGGGCCAGGGTGGAGGGGCTGAACCTAGTCAAGGCAGGGACTGCAGCCCCCTTACCACCTGTGCCCAAGGTGTTCCTGAGGCTCCCCGACCTGACACCCCCTCCTGGTCCCTGCGGCCACGCAGGCTCTCCCCAACTCCCCAAGGGTTCTCTGCTCCCTGGCAGTGCACAGCACACCTCAGTGCACATCTGAGTTGGAGTAGGGGTGTGGTTCCCCTGCTGCTCAGCTGGGGCCCTGGACCTGAGATGGCACCCAAACCTGAGATGTGGGGAGGGCATGTCAGGCCTGGTGAGGCTGGGAGCAGGGGCCCACTCTAGTGGGGGATTGGCCCCCACCCCAGGCTGGCCTCAGGCCACACCCACCCACCTGGCAGGCAGGCAGGCACCCATTGACCACCTCAGCGAGTGGCTGGGAACTTCAGAGGCTGCCCAGCCCCAACAGCACTCGGAGAAGCACCAAGAGCCAACAGAGGTCAGAGGTCAGTAAGAGGAGGGCACTACAGCAGCATTAGGAGGGAGGCGCACCGAGCAGGCTGCCTGGACTTGGGACCCCAGGGGGAGCCGGCCACAGTGAGAAGGGGAGGGGTGGCCAGGCCAAGGAAGGAGACAAGAGGTGGCCGAGACCCACGTGGAAGGTGGGATGTGGGGTGGCTGCAGAAGAAAGGGGGACCTGGGCTCCAGAAGGGGCAAGGGTTCCCAGCTGTTCCATGAGGGGGAGAAGTCTCATGAGGGGCTTGCCGAGAGGGTGGGGGCCCAGAGAGGGGGTGAGCATTGAGACAGAGAGTAGGGGTTCAGTGTGGGGAGCTGCTGTGAGGCCTGGCCCAGCCTGTGCATGATGGGACTAGTTCCCATGGGGATTGTGACTCGGGGTCACATGCTGTCTCCAGGAAGTGTCCTTGGTTCCTTTGCTCTGAGAACACCTCCCAAGGACTCCTGGGAATATCTGAGCTCTGAGGTCACTCCAAGCTCCTCTGAGAGCATTGCCCAGACCCAAGGGGACAGGGAGGCCTGGGGAGTGAGCAGTCTGGGGAGTGCCAGGCCTCACTGCATGGGACGCAGGCCCGGAACCCAGGGCTGGGATCTCAGTGTGCTCAGGACCTGGCTGGTCCACCTGGTCCCCAGGCACCTGCTCACCCTCCATCCCACCGACAGGCAGCAGTGCTCTGGGAGCACGTGGGCTGTTCGTGTCCTTTGTTTGAGTGGGTGGGTATGTGTGCACCACCACGTTAACCTGGTGGAGTGTGTGAGCACAAGTGTCTGCACATGAGGGGGTGTGTGTATCCCTGCATGTGATGGGGACACGGCTGCCAGCATGTGACCCACACCCCTGGACTCACTGGACTGGGGAGAGGACAAGGCCCTCAGTGACCACCCCCTGTCCAGTCGTGGCTCTTAGATGTGGGGCTGGGAGTCCTGGGCTGGACACAAAGTTGTGCTCAGCTGGATGAGCAGAGGAGAGGACTGCACCCCAGGCCCACGTCCCCCACCCCAGGACTGAGGACAGAACTGGCTTCAGATCCGCGAGCACTGCCAGGGCACACAGAAACAGCCAGTGGGGGATGGCCTCGGGGGCTCATTTGGAGCCGAGTCTCCATTCCTGCCGGCCCCGTGTGGGTGACCTGCTGACCACTCTGCTGCCCCACCCCCTGCCAGCCAGGGACACTGACACAGCGAGGCTGGGGACACGTCTGGGGCTGCAATTCTTTCCTGTTGGACCAGGCGTGCGTGCGAGGGTGAGGCCTCCCCACAGGGCAGAAACTGGTTTCCCCCAGGCTGGGGCGGGAGGCCTTGGCTGTGGCAGGAGCTCTGGGGAGGGGTGTGGGCTTGGGTTTCAGTCTCTGCCTCTCCTTCTGAGCCTGGGCTTCCGATGGGCTTGGTGTTGCCCTCTGGGCGTGAGGTGGCCCTGCCGGGACGTCCAGTGGACTCAGCCAGGCGTATCCCTCCTGTGCCCAGCAGTGAGAGCCGGGCCCCGCAGGGCAGCCTGGCCGCCCCGTCCCATCTCGCTGTGGCGGCTCCTACCGGGATCCCCTGCCCAAGCCTCGCAGGACCTCTGCCCACATCACTCCTCAGGCCCCCTTGGTCCTGCTGTGTGTCCACCTTCTGAGGCTGCGGTGGATCTTCCTCTTGCTGACCTCTGACCTCATCAGCTCTGGGTGCTCCTAGTGCTGAGTGAATGAATTGATGAGGGAAGGAATGAGCTGCCAGCCATGACCCCAGGGCTGTGCTGCCTGACCCCCCTCCACGCTTGCCTCCTGGGGTGTGGGAGGCCCCACAGCAGTTGACATACCGGGGTGAGGAGGGGACATGCCCCACCTGCCTGGTTGGCCTGAGCCTATGACCCCAAAATCGGCCTTGTTTGGACCTTTTATGTGAGGACCTGGATCCAGTAAGGGCTGGGTGAGGGGCTCAAATAGACAAGCTGCAGAGAGGCTGTGCAGGGCCCCCACTGCAGACACCTGCCCCTGCCGCACGCGTACCTTGGGTTCCCCCACCCCATGCCCCTGCTTTGTGGCCTGGATAAGGCCACCGGCTAGCCAGTCCAGCTGTCCCACCCCCACTATTTGGGGGCCTGAGAGCTGTACCTAGGCCTAGGGGTGCCCGGCCGTAGAGGTATGCCCAGCGAAGCTGAGGGCTCAAGGAGCCAGGCTGCACGGGCCTTGAAGGTCAGGGGAAGGGCATGAGGCATGCCAACTGTGGGGGCCGGGGGCTGTAGGTCGGGGTACAGGGTCTAATTCAGAGTGGAGTTTTGCTGCCAGGGATGTGGCAGGGCTGAGGCTGTGGGCTGGGGACTGGGAGGAGGGGGGACGGGGGGCTGGAGGGATGTGAAGGTGGCTGGAATGACCCTGGTTTCTGGTTTGCACCTCAGGGTGGGGGGTGATGCAAGGGCCTGGGGGGTGGTCCCTCAGAGGCGGGGACAAGCTGGAGAGGCCCTGTCTGTGCCTGGGCGGGGCATCTAGGGCCTGGCTGCCCAGACCTGCTGTCCTGGTTGGACAGGGCCCTGCATTTTCTGTTTCGTCCCCAAATGAGAAGCCTGGCCTGGTGTGAGCACAGGAGTAAGGGACAGGGCACCTCCTCCCGTCTGCTCTGTCCCCCAGGGACCCACGGTGACCCATGAGAGACTGGAGGGCCCCACACCTCGCCCCTTCCAGCCCCAGCCTCCCACACAGACAGCACAGCGTCCTCTCCCTTCCTCGTGGTTCCTGAAGCCAATGGGGACCCTGAACCGGTCTCTCCACCTCCACCCGGGTCCCCTTCTCTTCACGCAAGGGGATGGAGAGGATGGAGGTGTCCACAGGGGCACAGTCCAGGCCCTTGGCAGTCCCTGTCCCTGCTGTAGTGGAAAAGTCCATACCAGCCTGGCCAGTGGGGTGCACGGGGGGCAAGAAGGGGTGGGCCGCTGGCTCTCCTGAGCACCCTCAGACTGCCCCCCAGTGCTGCGGCCGACGCCCTTCCTGCCCACCTCCCATCAGAACTCACGCTGAGGGCCTGCCCTGCACTGCCCCCCAGGAGGTCAGATTCGGCCTGGCCAGGCATCCTTCCCTGGCCGCAGACACAGGCTCAGAGACAGATGGACCCGGGGCAGCCGAGCCCCCTGGGGAGTTGCTGAGCATCAGAGAAGAGGTGGCTCTGGGGGGCCAGCACCCTCCCTGCCACAGCTGGGTCCCCTGTGCACACAGGAAGCCTGTGGCAACCCCAAAGCTTCTCAATGTTGTGGCCACGGAGACAGGCAGTTCCCCGGGTGGCTGTCCCCAGAACCCAGGATGGAGCCCCAGGGAGGCTTCCTGCAGCCCCTGGCTGTGTGGACACGGCTCCTCCCCCCCGCCTGGTGGGGGCCAGGCCCACGGCAATGCAGATGCTCCCCCAGGTGGACGGCCAGGCCCACCGCAATGCAGATGCTCCCCCAGGTGGACATCCAGGGATGAAGCTCTGGGCCTCCTGGGCAGTCCCACTGCCAGTCAGCAAAGGCCTGCCCGCTCTCCAGCCCCTCCAAGGAGCCATCCACCTGTGAGCATGGGGGACCCCTGTGCCCCAAGGGGGCTCCAGCCTGCACTCTGTGCCCCTCTGTAACTTCCTCCCGGGAGGCTGTGAGCCGGCCCATGGGTGTCCTCTCTGCACAGGGGGCCTGTGATCACCCGGGACCTGCACGCCCCCCCACTAGGCCTGGTCATTTTACAGAAAAGCCCCCTAAGAGGCACCCACAGTCTTTCCCTTCTCAGGTCCTAATGGGGGTGGGGGGCCCCTGGGCTGTCCTGCTCATGGGAGGCGGCCTGGGGAGGCCCCTCCCCCGGGACACCGTCCTGAAAGGCGGGGCTGGTGTGGCTCTACCTGGCAGAGGCGCAGGCTCTCAGGCCCAGGAGGAGTGACAGGGCAGGGGTGCTGATCCTTGCCCTGGGCAGTGGGCCTGGGTGGGGCTTCACCCTCACTCAGGAACAGATGGCCCTGGGCGGGCTAGAAGGCCTGGAAGAGAGCGCCCTGAAGGGCTCGCCTGGCACTGACCAAGCTGGTGCCCTCAGCTGCTGGGCCAGGTCACTGGCTCAGTCTTCGAGAACAAGCGCGTATGCAGATACTAAATGCTTGAGACAGGCATCATGATGCAGAGCAGGGGAGGCTGACCACGCAGGTCCGCCTCGGGCCCCTCAGATGTGGACCAGACGCTGCAAGAGAACACGCTGGTGGTGGCTGAGAACCTGGGAAGTAGCCAGCGAGGCCCCGGGCACAGGAGGTGGCGGCGAACGCTCCTCTCCCCACAGGAACCACGGCCATCAGCAACCAGTCAAGGTTGAAGACGTGCAGGGTGGCACCTTGAGGCCTGGGGCAGCAGGACCAGCAGCCAGCATGGCCTCCATGGGTCCAGCAAAACCTGATGGTGCAGGCGGCAGTCACAGGGAAATGTGACCCTGGGTGGACACACCCCAGTGAGGGCTGGCCTTGACCTCCCACAGCTTCAGGCTAGTGTAGTCCCTTGGTGGACAAGGATAGCAGTGCCTGGGGCCCAGGCATGGGGGCAGGGGCAGGGGGCCGAGGATGGCAGTGCCACTCAGACTTCTCTACAAAATGCATTTCTGCCTAAAAACAGACACAAGTCAGTATGAAACCAGGAAACTCGCTTCTCCAGCTCCTGGAAACAGGTGGTCGCAGGCTCAGGGGTCTCAGCCATAGGACAGCCCTGTGGGCACCTCAGTCCCCAGACCCCACCCCACCCTGTCCGGCACCAGCTGGAACACCTGAAGGCCTCGGCCTCTCTCCTCTCAGAAGGGTCCAGGGGGCCATGTGGCCTAGTGGTGCAGGGGCATCTGCCCACTGTGGGCTCCCAGGGGTGAGGTGGCCGGCTGCAGCTCTGCCAGGCACCAGGCAGCCTGGCAGGCCTGCAGACTGTGGGCGCTGGGAGCTCACAGTCTCCTGAGGGCTGAGCCTGTCACAGGGTCACCTGTTCCTGTCAGTCACCCCGAGAGGCCGTGGGCAGGGAGGAGTCACCTGTAGAACACCGGGCATATTTCCACTGAGCATTGGTCACTGGGAGGCGGATGAGCTGAGCCAGGGGCTGTGTCCAGGCCCGTCCAGAGGCCTCACTGGGCAGTGCTGCCTTCTATGTGCTGGGCTTCCTCCAAGGTGGCGTGTGGAGTTCAGGTGGGCCTCCAGCTCACACGTTGCTGACCCGGGCCTCCACCAAGGAGACAGCAGTGGGGCCTGTGTCCTTGCCCGAGGGCCGCTCACGCCTGACGTAGCGCGGCTTCCGCACTGAAACAGGGTCAGACAGGTGGGGTCAGAGCAGGGCCTGGGACAGCAGGGACGCCCCGGGTTGCAGCCCCCACAGAGCTCCTGGGAGTGGGACATGGAGCAGCCCCGAAGCACCCCGCCGAGCCCCAGCTTGTACAGATGTGGCAGCTGAGGAGAGGCTCTGGGATGAATACCCCACTCTCCCCAGAGGCCCGAGCACCCTGGCCTGGGCGAGGGCCTGGCTCTCGCAAATCACTGAGGCACAGGTCACATGATGCACTGCAGGGGCCTGGATGGTGGCCCCAAAAAGACACGTCCACGTCCTAAGCCTGGGGCCTGTGGATGCGACCTCTCTTGGAAAAAGGGTCTTTGCGCGTGTGATTAAGTTAAGGGTCTCGTGATGAGCTCCTCCTGGACTATGTGTCCTGAATTCAGTGACCAGCGTCCTCATGACAGGGAGGTCGAGAGAGGAGGAGACACATGAGGATTGGGGTAGAGGCTGGAGGGGTCTGGCCACAGCCCAGGGACGCCTGGAGCCCCCAGAGGCCGGAAGAGGCAAGAAAGATCCAGAGGGAGCACCCCCCCAATCCTGGTTCCTGACTTCCAGCCTCCTCAACTGTGAGCAGACGTCTCGGTGGTCTCAAGCCCCCCATCTGTGGCCACCTGTCTCTACAGCCCTGGGAAACTACCAAGGCACCTTAGGAAACTCAAGATACCGCAGACACTGCTGCGTGAGAGAAACAAGAGACGAGTGTCTTGGAACCGGGCTGACCCAGCCTTGAGAAAGGAACTTCTCTGTCCCCACAGAAGAGGGACGTCCTCCCCTGTCCCCACTCCAGACCCCTGCAGAGCAGCAAGAACACAACTGGGGGAGACACCTGCTCTGGGCCTGTAGCTGTGCGGCCTGTGCTCACAGCATCACCTGTAACGTGGTGAGACTGCACCTACTCCTGGAGCCATCTGAGGCGCCATGCGCCTGGCCCAGCAGAACGAAAGCCAGCCGCTCGGAGCGGGGACTGCCCAAGGGCCCAGTGCCTGGCCGGCCACACCCCACTGCTCAGGTCAACAAGCAAGGGCAGCAGAGGCGACTTCTGACTTCGCGCTGGGGAGACTCAATGTCTCAGGAATAAAGAGAAAAGGCACTAAAGCTCCGGTTGCTGAAGGGGGAAGGAACGTGGCCGGCGTCCCCAGCAGTGGGGGGTGGGGGTGGCGGAGGGTGGGGGTGGTGGAGCGGCAGGTCCAGGCACCCACCCGCTGGGCCCATCCCTGCAGGCGCCAGGGAAGTGGGGGGGGCGGGGGGGAGGCGGGGCTGGTCCTGGAGTGGGCCGCGCCCACACACCGTGGGCTGCCTGTGAAATTGTCGAGGGGCCGAGGGGCAGTGACAGCTGACCTACCTGAGGACTGCGGCAGGGGGATCATCGCAGCCTGAAAAAGGAGAGAGCACGATGAGAACAATGGACGGCCCCGCGCAGCACGCAACACAGGGGTGCCCAGCCCCCCGTCCGGGTTACTTACAGCTTCTCCAGGCTGCAGGGCAGGGACTGCAGGGAAAGAGCACAGGTGTCACCTGGGTCACGCAGCCATCTCAGCTTGGGGTGGGGTCCCTCATCCTGGGGCGGGGGCCCTTCAGCCTAGGGTTGGGTCCCTCAGCCTGGGGTGGGGTCCCTCAGCCTGGGTGGCGCCCTTCAGCCTGGGTGGGGTCCCTCAGCCTAAGTGGGGTCCCTCAGCCTGGGGTGGGGTCCCTCAGTCTAAGTGGGGTCCCTCAGCCTGGGTGGGATCCCTTAGCCTGGGGTGGGGGCCATAGGGCCTGCAGAGCTGCTTCCCCAGCTCCAGGCTCAGCCCAATCCCACCTCCACACCTTCGCCCAGCAGTGCCCTCGGCCTGGCTGTCTGCCCCGTTTCCCACCTGCACTTGGGGGTGGTGGGCCCCCAAGGTTCCCAGGTGAGCCGTCTCCTCCCCAGAACCCTCTTTCTGCCCGCTCGGTGGAGTGGACAAGCCATTCCTCAGAAAGTGCATTTCTTTAGGCCTCCAGCACAGCCAAGGGGCAGAGTGTGGCTCTCCCTCCCCGGGTCCCAGCAGGTGCTTGGCGAGGTTGCCTTCTGCCCCAGCTGATGCCCAGGTCATAGGTGCGCCTTGGGGAGACCATCTTTGCCCCCCTCCCTTGCCACTGGGGAGGCTGCCATAGGCCTCCACCACCCCAGCTTCTCCCTGGCCCCGTGGCCACCTAGGGTGACCAAGCCCAGCTCTGGAGGCAGCAGGAGGAGACACAGAGTGGGCCTGCCCCAGCTACTGCACAGACACACCGAGACCCCCGTGCCCACCACTGTGCAAGCACCCTCCTCGAGCTGACCCAGAGCATCTGTCCTGATGGCAGTGAGGGGCCCAGCCCTTGACGCTCAGGACCCGGGAGCTACAACAGCCCTGCTGAGGTGTCCAGCACTGGCTGAGAGGGGGCGGACAGGGGTCTCATGGAGCCCCTGATGGGCTGGGCTCTGGGTAACCATCCACTGGTGCTGCCCACCAGGGGTCAGATGCCTTGGCTGGACCACCTGCCTGGCACAGCAGGAGTGACTCCCACCTCTTCAGGAGGGAGGCAGGGCCGGCACCCAGGCCCAGGGTAAGTGGGGGCGGCCTGGCCACTCCAACCCCAGTGGGGCGGGATGGGGAGAGGACACAGCTTGCCTCAGGAGCTGTGCACAGGTGACCCCAAGACCAGGGACGCCACCTCCCCGCCCTGCCCCACCCCAGCAACCCGGCCATGATGCTCCAGGTGCTGAGTCAGGCCAGTGCCCTCTACGCTCAGGCCCCAAGGAGTCCTCGCAGGAGCGCTTCTAGGAAGTAACTGCCCCTCTTATTCCTGGGCACAAGAACCACCTGATGACCCGGCCCTTCTGGCTGTGTTCACAGGGCTACACGCCTGGACGCCCTCATCAGTCGCCCCGAGTGCTTCTCCGAGGAGCCTGGCGTGGGGGTATGTGCTGGTCGGGCCCTTGGCTGGGCAGGGTCTCGCCACGGCGGCACGAGGGGTACCTTTGTTTCTCCTGTAGAAGACCCTGGGGAGCCTACTGGCACGCTTGAGGTAGAAGAACCCGGCCACGGAGAGGATGAGGCCCGAGCTGACGAAGAATGTCCCCAGGAACAGGGAGGCTGCCACTTGAGGGCCCCCTGCAAGCAAGGGGAGCAGCTGCCAGTGGCAGGCCTGGGCAGGCTCAGAGTGGGGACGGTCCCAGGCTCCTCCCCAGATCCCTGTTCCCTGGACACCCCGGGGCCCTCACAGGGGCTGGCCGAAGACAGGGGCTTAGGACGCCCTGCAGGCCCAGTGAGGCCCGGTGTGGGCTCTGGGGAAGTTCCACAGGGAGGAGGGACGTGGAGAGGGTTAAGGATTCCCGCCCCAGCTCCTCAGGCTTGTTCCTCAAGACTCAGCACAGACTGTGGGGCCCCATGCCCCTTGGCACACTGGGCCGGAGCCTTCAGCCCACGCCAGGGGCTCCCACATCCTCACATCTTGGGAGCTTGTTCACTGTTGCCTGGAGCGGCCTTCCCAGTGCTCTGAGCCCCGGCCATCTTCACCCAGGCCGAGGGCTCTGGACAGTCAGTGACTGTCAGCTGGGGGAACGTGCATGTAGATGCCTGTCGGGAGGTGGCTTTCTAACCCTGAGACCCAGGCGCTGGAACCCAGAGGAGTGACAAATTCCAGCCAAGTGAGTGTGTCCTGCCCAGATGTGCTGCAGTGGAGGGGCTAACAGCCAGCCCCTCGGGCCTCCCTCACTTGCCCTGCCACTGCCGGCCTGGCCATGTCAGCTCTCTGAAGCGACCCCACCCTCCAGTGCTGCTGCTCCATGTGGCCGGCCTCAGTGGGCCAGCTCAGCACAAGGCCACTTGCTTCTGGTCCTGAGCCCTCAGCCCAGGTCAACATGTCCTCTGCTGAAGGAGCAGGGTCTAGGGGTGACACCACCCAGCCACCTCAGAAGAGGAGGTGACACTCTCCCTGACTGCAGTGCCCCAAGGTACGGCCACGCCCTGAGGCTGGTGGGCATCTGGGTAGGATGAGATGCCTGGCAGACAGGAGCAGGCTGGGGACAGAGCGTCCAAGAGGTGGGTCCTGTGTCTGCCCCTGAGCACCAGGTGGTGTGACGGGTACTTCTGTCTGGCATGCAATGTTTGCAGTCTCTTCCAAGCCCTACATCCTAGAGGAACCACTGGGGATGGGGGCTAGGGGACCTCAGGGTGTCCTCCAATCTCCAGAAGACCTGCATGTCCCAAGTTCCCATGGCCCTCGGGGCTGAGTGGACTAAGAGTGAGGCCAAGGGTGAGATGTGCGGCTGGAAGGGCTTCCACTAACAGGAACTGTTCAGAGGCACAGCGAGGGCTGTGGCCGTGCAACTGACCCAGCCCAAGGGGCTGCTGGACTCTCTACTAGGCCGTCTCCGTGACCAGGGTTGAGTCCCTGTACACAGAGCTCTTGGCTGGGGTGGAGTTTGACCTTGACTGTGGACATGGCCCTGCTGTGGTGAGCATCTGTGGTTGGGGTCTGCACTGGGAAAGGCTTGGATGATGCCCCCTCTCCCCTGACAGGACCTGGGCAGAGGCCCTGCTCTGTTCTGGTGAGCTGAGAGACTTACTGAAATTTGGCCGCCCAGGCGTCCCTGTGCTCCTGTTCACCGGGAACTGTACACCCCGGCCAGCAACTATGGGGGAGCAGAGCTGTCAGTGCTGCCAGCTTTGTGGACAGCCCAGACCCATGGAAATGTCCTGGGCCATGCATGGAAACCCCACCAAGGACCCCCAGGGAGAGAGACACAGCCCAAAGGGGAACCATGAGGCAGAAACGACAAAGGGAGGGGACCATGGCAGCGGAGTGGCCCTCACCTCACAGCTGTCCTGAATAGACAAGAGGACAGGGGTGGGGTGGTCCTGGGGGTGTTCCCTCGATGGACAGTGCTTCAGGGTGAGGTGGGTCACCCACTAGTGGGGGACAAGAATAGAGACTCCCGCCCGTTCCTCCAGAACTTGGAGATGTGGCCCCTCAAGGAAAAGCAGGCCAGGTGGGCATGAGGGGGTGGGGGAAAATGGGGCAATGACGTACGGCCTCTGCACTCGGAACTGTTGTAGGTTCCGTTCCTGCACTGGACACAGCTGATGCTCCCGTCCTCGTTCCAGTGCCTGTAGCAGCCTGTGCAAGAGACAGGTACTCAGCTTGCTGTCTGCTGGAAGTTTCTCTATATTTTGAGTTTGTAAAACAACAGCTAATTAACCCATTCTGGTCATTTGGATGGAATGACATGGTCCAGTTTCAGAAAAAGAAGCTCAACAGGAACCACGGTGAGCCCTCTGGTGCAGGGGCATCCCTGGGGGGTCCTTCCCTGGATGTCTTGGAAAACACTTCAGAGAGGCTGGGGACGGGAATCCAAAATAGGTGCCGTGTTTGGCCTCACACTCAGGAGAGGACCAGGGTGAGCTCCACCTCCCACCCCCACAGCCTCAACCCCGGGCCCTCACCCCACCTTGCTGCAGTGCACTCCTCACTCAGTCGGTACGAGGGACAAGGCCCACCCCACCAGTGGCACTGCTCCCGGCCCAGGCGAGGCCCTTGCTCCCTCTGTTGCCCCTGCATCCCTCCCTGGAGGGTCCCCACACTCTCAAATTCCATTGCCATCCCAGACTGCACTGCTGCCAGCAGCCCTGCCCTCCCCCAGCCAGGGGCCCAGGGAGCTACCCATCCAGCGCTCAGAGTGGTCCAGCTCTGGCCGTCCAGCAGTTGATGGACAGCCCATCTTCCCAACTGCCCACTTTAGGGCAGGAATCGTCTTACACCTCTGTTTTTTCTTAACATCCCCAACGTGCAGCACAGAGGCTGAGCTAACACATGGTAACTGGTATGGACTGTGGGTGCTGGAGGCTAGCGCTGGCCACTGGGGCAGCATCTGGGGAAAAGCCACAGGCTGCAGGCCCTTCATAATGAATTTACCGACGTTTAGTCTATACACAAATGGGTCACCGTGAGAGGAAGGCCTTTTCGCAGTGACACCGAGCAGATGGCAGGTCCTGAAGCGTGACATGAGCACAGCGTGGGCAGACAGGCCAAGCAGCACCAGGAGGCCATGTCAGATCTGACATGGAGTCATAAACAGCACCAGAAACAGGCCTCCATTTCTTGTAAAAACAGAGTTTCTCTTCTCAGCACGGGGCCTCTTTGCCTTGACCTGGCCCTATGGGGGGGCGGGGGGGGAGCAGACCATGGGGAAGGCACAAGGTGTCTGCTCCAAAGTCTGCTCCAGGAGGCCTGGGAACACGGGGTCCTGGACCCAGACCTGGCGCCAACACAGCGAGTCTCCTGAGAAGCACCCTCTGACCAGCTCGGCAGCGGCTGGGCTCCTTGGCGGAGCGACCCAGGGCTGCTGGCCACGAGGAGACCCTCGGCTGGGCTGTGTGGACAGGGACAAAGTGCAGCTGGAGCGCCAGGACCAGTGACCAGACGTTTTAAGGAGCTGAGGTTGACGTTACACAGCCAATACAGCCCCTTTAAAAAGCCCCCTGACACCTTGCTTACAGGGTTCCCAGCAGCCTTACCAGGTGAATAAGGAGGGCCACTTCCTGGCAGGCCCAGGAAACTCAGGCTATTTTGGGGACCTTGAAAAGAGAGGTGTTCACCCAAATCCGTAAGTACTGCAGGCCAAGTCTGATGGTGAGTCCTCAGCTTGGCTTCCTGGCCTCGAGAGACTTTGAACAGTCCACTCTGAGACTGCAGTGATAGGCTCAGCAAGACAGACTTAAACAGCCTGCCCATATGGTTACTGCTGGTGTGTTTGGGGTTTTTTTGGTGAGGAAGATTGGCCCTGAACTAACATCTGTACCAACTATCCTCTATTTTGTATGTGGGATGCCACCACAGTGTGGCTTGAAGAGCAGTGTGTAGGTCCATGCCCAGGATTCAAACCTGGTGAGCCCCAGGCTGCCAGAGCACAGCATACAAACTTAACCACTCAGCCATCAGGTGGCCCCATGGTCATCACTGTTTTTGCTCCACTTATGTAAATAACCAGGACAAATTTAGTGAGGCCAGACTTCTTTTACAAGCAAATTACCCTTACTGTGATTATCTTAGGTAGAAATGGGGTGACTGTAGAGAGAAAAAGGACATTTCAGTAAAAATTAAAATCACCTACATGGATATCAGATTCTAGTCTGGCTCATTGTCTTTGCAGTTTGTCTACCTGCAAACTGGATTGGATCGTGCATTCTTCTAGTCTCCTCCAATATCTGGCTACAACTCTCCAAACTAACGTTTCCAATTTCTCCCACCCTTCGGACTTGGAATCACTAAGAACTAAAACTGTCCTTTCCCCGAAGCCCCACAAACTAAGGACGGACAACTTAACGTGAACTTCAGAGAAACCACGTCGACAGACCGCGTGGGACAGCGTTGTGCCTGCTGCTGTGTGAACCACACGGAAAGTTCACAAGAACCCCCAGCCCATCACCAGAGACATTCAAACCGCAAACCAGGAAATTCATCAGAGACGGCCACTGCTGCCCCAGTTCATGTGAAGATGCTCTGAGCCAACATCTAGACATTTTCTCAGCTGACTGACTGCCTTCTGGACTCAACAACCAGGATTTTCCTTTGCTCCAATCATTAACCTTTGTTTTTCTTCTGTTTCTATAGAAATGCCTCTTACTACATACCTGATTGCTCACACCACATAGAGGCAACCTGCAGTACAGCCTCCTAACATGAAACGCAGCTGTCTAACTGGAGCGGGCTCTCCCCAAGCCTCAGAAGCTGACTCAGTAGGACATGGGACGGTGCATGTGGACACGGGATGGTGCACTTGGACGAGCTCTTCTGCTTGTCCCATCTATGTTTCTTCTCCCCCTCTGCCACTCTCTTATCTCACAAGTGCAAACCCTAATCCCCCCACAGCTACCAACTTGGCTTTTAATATGTGAAACTTTCTGAAGATGAAGTTTCACATGGGGGAGGGAAGGAAAACAGAACATGTTGCCCCCAACATGCCTCTTTGGCATAAGGATTATTTTGAGCTAAAGACACTTAGAAAACAGGCGATGCAAGAAGGATGCTCTGGCCTCCCTTTTTCTTCCAGGAAGCAGGAGAGGAAGACACCCTCCCGGTACAGGAGGAAAGAAACAGTCACATCCTCAAGGACAGGAGCCAGGCTGCGAGAATTCTGTGCACAAACCTTGTTAAACCTCCTCCCCACCCATCTTCGGCAGCCTCCCCACACAGTTCAGCCACTTTTCCACAGCTGTCATTGCTCAACCGCACAGGCAAACGCTCAGGCCTTGCCGCTTCCTGGGGTCTCTGCTTCCTCACAAGGGCTCGCGTCAAGTGATCCGCACACGTTCCTGTGCTTCCCATTCGCCTGTCTTAGTCAGCAGTTCTCAGGCCCAGCTGAAACTCCCCTGGGGGACGGGGCGGTCTGGCCTCCCCACACCTCCCACTGCTCCAAACCACAGTCTCTCCACAGGGCCTGCCCCACGCCCGGGAGAGGCAGCCAGGCTGCCAGGAGCAGGGAGGCTGGGACAAGCCATCACCTTCCTGCTGCCTTGGCCACTCCCTGAGCCCCTCGCCCAGCTCCCAGTCCCATGCCAGCCTCCTTCCTGAGAGGTCCATGTGCCCTCCTGCTCACACGGGGCATGGTGAGCGCAACAGCTCCGCAGCGCACACGAGCGCCATCCTCATCACCAAGGCCGGTCTAGGTCGGCCCAGGCCAAAGTGGCTTACCTGGGCCACACAGGCTTGTGCCTGGGCAGGTGGCATTGACGTCCACCACGTCCACACAACACTCAGGCTGCTGGCCCTAGAGGGGAGATGGCGGTGAGTTTCCAATGCCAGAGCCAGGCGGCTCACGCAAGCCAGGCCAAAGATGGTGTCTGCAGAGGGGGCGCCTCACAAGCTCATCCCAATGCCCATGGCTCTGGCCTCTTCTTGAGTCAGCATCAGGTGACTGTCCCCTGATCAGCCGGGGTGAGGTGAGGACTCACGGCCACACCACATAGATGCTCTCTGGGACAGAACTTGGTATTTGAGAATGAGAGTTTGATGACTGAATAAACAACTGGAGTGTTGGGCTGGGACCTGCCAGGGTGTGTTCCCCAGCACCCGAACTCCCACAGGCCAAGAAGGAGAATCCCTTGGGGGCCCATTCAGAAGTTCTGACTGGGGCCCAGGCTGGGAGCAGCCTGGTGGGGCAGGGAGTGGTCCTGGGACCCTTCCCGGTCTGCGGGCACCCTGCGCTTTGTGGTCATCTCCTTTTGCAGCCTGCCTGGCCGACCACTCAGAGCCTCACCTGGTAGGTGGTGGGGACTGCAGCCCTTTCTCCATGTGGGTCTCTTGGGTCCAGGGCAGAGCTATTGCCTCTCACCTCATGGCCACAGGTGGGCACCAAGGGGGTCATTCTAGCCCATGAAGTTATTCCTATTAGTCACCACTTGCCAGATGGTGGCTGTGGAAACTAAAGCTGCTAAGTGTGCACAGTGCCTTCATGAGAAAGGAAACACATGTCTTCCTAGAGTATGATAAAACACGAAGATTGACCCAGGCCCCCTGGCCTCCCTGGTGAGGGACAGGGGGGCTGACACAAGCATGTTTGCCCTGTGTTCCCAAAGAAATAGTCATCCCACAGGCTCCGGCTGCTTCACTGATGTTCTCTGCAATTCTACGGACACCCCACCATCGGGGTTTCCCACCTGGCCCCACAGAGGAAGTGCCCGGTGGATGAACTCATACCTGCCACGTCCATACGCAGGAGCGGGCAGCATGGGGCACAGGTGTGCCAAGGGTTGGCATTTACGGGTTGAGCAGCTGACAGGCCTCAAGGGGGCTTGCAAGGGGACCTCAGCTCGTGTGTGTATCACAGCTGTGCTTTTGTTTCTCAAGACTGGAACACAGTGAACAGTGAGGGGCGTCTAAAGAATGGCAGGAACCTCCACACCACCACGGGAGGGGCTGAGGCCAGCTCACAGCTGAGCCAAGCCTTGAAGGACGCCCCAGCTGTCCCATCCCATCCAGCCCTGGCAGAGTGGCTGCATGGCCCACTGGCCGGGACATGTGGCAGGCATGTGCGGGCAAGGCTGGGGCTCCTAGAGAAACCACAGCTCAGCAGACCCGTGTCACTGGCTTAGGAGAGCCAGGACGCTTGGCCGTGAAGGCGTGCGGCGGACCCTGCCTGATGCGGCTGCTCGCCTGGAGTAAGCAGTCTCCGTCCACCCCAGGAGCTTGGCAGGCAGCTTGGGACTCGGGTCGGTGCCAGTAGGGGCGGCTCTGTAGAGACCTTATTTCAATTATAGCAACAGGGTCAGTTTGGCAAAGAGAGAAAGAAGGTTACAGCAGACAGAACACAGCAGGTGCAGGCGGGGTCGTGTGTCTGCTGCCCTCCACAAGGCACAAGCCCCTCTGGCCTCGAGCGTGGGCGCAGTCAGTGTCTTCAGGGCCCAGGCAAGGATGACCCCTGAAGGTTGAAGGGTGAGACCCCCGGGCGAGGGCCCACCGCCTCCATGAGGGGCAGGGCTGAGAGGGCCCTGACTTTACTTCCTGTCCCCCACGCTGCTGCACGATAGGGACCTACCGCACTGTCTGAGGACTTGCTGGCAACTTCCACCAGGAGGCCGGCCAGGAGAACGGCGCGCTGGAGTGCCATGTTCTGGAGCACAGGGTCTGCAACAGAGAGGGGTGCTGTGCAGACACGGGTACCGCCTTCCAGGGCACCAGGTGGGGCCGAGGAGGAGGAGCCTTACCTGGCCCTCCAGGACGTGAGCTGCAGACATCCAGATCCTCTCTGGCCGGTGATCGCTGTCGGGGCAGGCCTGCCAAGAACCAGGAGTCAGCCCCCGAGCCCCGCAGACCTCTGCTCTGAGGCCTGCAAATCAAAGCCGACAGTGAGGCCCCGCTGCTGGTCGCTGTATGGCCACATCACTTGGGGGACTCCGCCTCTGGTGCTTGGGGTCCAACTGGACTTCCCATAAGGAGCCCAGAGCAGGGGCCAGAGAGGCCTGCTCAGCCCATCTGGATCTGGACTTTGGACACTCACTCCTTCCTCCAACAGCTTTCAGCCGCTCACTGCTCCTAGAAGAAGGGCTGAGCAGAAGGGGTTCTGGATGAGCCAGTCCTTTCCATGAGCTCAGATGGGACTGGTCCATCTGTCATCTCACTCTGTCCTAGTAAAACCCTGACTTGCATTTTGAGCAATTTTACCCAGAGACGGAACTGTTCAGGGCAGGGGGCTCCTGGGGTGAACACAGGCCAGTCAGGGACATTCGGTACAGTTTCTGTGGCTCACCCTACTTTCATCACAGAAGAGTACCTGAAAGACACCATGTTGGGGGATGAAGGGGACAACCTAAGACCCCAGTGCAGGATGATGCCAGAGCAGACAACCTGTACAGACGACACAGGAGCAACGGCGGGAGTCCACTCTCTACACTAAGGCCCTGAGACCCGACAGCGTGCAACTCACTGCTCACATGTCACACTTGTAATGTAAGCAGAGGAAACCCACAGCCCCTGACCTGAACTGTCAGTCAAGTTCCAACAACCTCTGTCAGCTTGCAAGGTGGCAACCATGGTGTAGTCTGTCTCAAACACAGCTGGATAAATATTTTGACATATACAAGTCACCTCTGAAAAGACTCTGCACTTGACGAAGACAGCTGCAGGGCCGAGGCTGTGCACCTGCACAGACTGTTCCAGGCTACTGAAGTGGAACCTAGACCACATCCGCTGGACCCCTTACTTCTTCCGAAGAAGGTCTGCAGGGAATGCGTGTGGGGCTGGGTGTCGAGGAACCACTCCCTTGACTGGCCCAGGGCCCCGCACCAGCAGGCCCAGGATGCCGGACCTGCCTCCCCACGTGCTGTTGCCCCAGGCTGCCTAGCAGGGGGAGGGCGAAGGTTGGGTGACACTTGCAAACAAGTGATGTCAGGACATGGGCTGGGGTGTGTCCTGTCATTCACTTTACACTAGGTTGCGTCCAGGGCAGAGGCAGGATGTGGTAAGTGCCTCCCCACCCCTAATCCAGGCCATCCCATTAAAACGCATGCGTCTCCCTGATGCACCTGCTCCTTCCATGGCAACTACTGGCGTCCCAGAGCACTGCCACCCCCCCGTAGGATGTGCTCAAGTTCCGCCCTTTTTTTTGTCTATGCACCTTTTGCTCAGCAAAGGCTACCTCTCCTTGCCTCAAGGAAAAGTCGGGGAGTCACAGACCTTCTGCCCACTCTCTGTAAGAGGCATCCCCAGGGTCACACTAAATCACAAAACACCATCTCAACTCAGGAATCTCAGTCCAAGATCTCAGTCCACACTCTCACCTGCTAGTCAGTCAATGGTACTGCGGTTTAACGTGCCCACAGTGAAATGCATCTGTCTAGAACACACACTTGTGAGTCCAGACAACCTGCACCGGTGTCTCCACCGCCTGCAGGAGACACTGAGCCCTCTGCAGCCCCCACCCCTGGCCCCAGGCAGGCCGACCTGCATCGCTGCACACTAACCTGTTTTCTAGAATTTTATGTGGATGGACCATACAGTATGCATACTTTTGTGTCTGGCTCCTTCCAGTCAGCATAACAATCTTCAGGTTCATCCGTACCTCATTCCTTTTTATGGCTGAACGATAGTCCATTATGAAGATACGTGACATTTCCTATCTGCCTTACCTATCCGCCTCTCTTGGACACTTGGGCCTTGTCCAGATCTGTGACTGTGAATGAAGCTGCTGTGGACATTCTTTTTTTTTTTGAGGAAGATTAGCCCTGAGCTAACATCCGCCACCAATCCTCTTCTTTTTGCTGAGGAAGACTGGCCCTGAGCCAACATCTGTGCCCATCTTCCTCCACTTTGTATGTGGGATGCAGCCACAGCATGGCTTGATGAGAAGTGTGTAGGTCCGCATCCAGGATCCAAATTGGCAAACCCCAGGGTGCCGAAGCAGAGCAGGTGAACTTAACCACTGCGCCACCAGGCCAGCCCCTGGACATTCTTGTATGCATCTTTGTGTGGACAGTTGTTTTCATTTCTCTCGGATAAATACCTAGGACTGAAACAACTACAAGGTGAGTGTATTTATAACTTTCTAAGAAACTGTCTTCAACAGTGGCTGCACCATGTGCATCCCCACCAGCAGTGTGTAATGGTTCCTCTGGCAGCATCCTCACCAGCACCCAGCATCTCACTGCTGCGCTAACCTCTGTTTCCCTGATAACCAGTGACCATCAGCACCTTCTCACGTGTTTACTGGCCATTTATATATCTTCTGGGAAGTGTCTGTTCACAACTTGTGGCCATTTTGTTTAATTGGGTTGTCTTTCTATTACTGAGTTGTAACCATTCTTTATATATTCTTTGTCAGATTTATGTATTGCAGAGATTTTCTCCCACTCCGTGGCTTTCCTTTCATTTTCTTATGGGTATCAAGAAGAGCAAATGTTTTCATTTTGATAAAATCGAATGATCTGTTTTTTTCTTTTATGGTTCTTGCTTTTTGTGTCCTAAGAAATCTCTGCCTTGACCTCAGGGTCATAAATATTTCCTGTGTTTTGTTCTAGAAGTTTTATAGTTTTAGTTTTAACATTTTGAGTTACTTTTGTGTATGGTGTGAAGTAAAGATCAAGGTTCATTTTTTAAATATGTACTTTCATTTGTTGACTTTTCTTTTCTGAGAGACATCCGTGTTGAAAAGCAATCGAGTATCTACGTGTGGCTCTGTTTCTAGGCTTTCTATTCTGCTCATTCATCCATGTGTCTATCCTTCTCCAATGCCACACCGTCTCGATTACTGAAGCTCTGCGGAAAGTCTGAAATCAGGTAACATAAGCCTTGCTCTGTTTAATTGTTTTGGCAACTCTAGGTCATAAGCATTTCTGTACTTTAGAATCATCTTGTCACTTCCTACAAGAAAGCCTGCTGGGATTTGGACTGGGGTAAGTGACACTGTCTTGAGTCTTCCAGTCTATGAACACGCTCTCTCTCCATTTCTCCACGTGCTCCTTCATTTCTCTCGGCAATGTTCTCTGGGTTTCAGTGAAGAAGTGGTCATGCACATCTTTTGAAAAACTTATTACTAAATATTTTTTTGGTATTATTGTAAATAGAATTGAATTTCAAATTTCCTTTTCCAATGGTTTGCTGCTAGTATATAAAAATATGACTAGAGGGGCTGGCCCCGTGGCCAAGTGGTTAAGTTCGCGCGCTCCGCTGCAGGCGGCCCAGTGTTTCGTTGGTTCGAGTCCTGGGCGCGGACATGGCACTGCTCATCCGACCACGCTGAGGCAGCGTCCCACATGCCACAACTAGAAGAACCCACAACGAAGAATACACAACTATGTACCGGGGGGCTTTGGGGAGAAAAAGGAAAAAAATAAAATCTTTAAAAAAAAAAAAATGACTAGAATTTGCACATTAACTCTGATTCCTGAGATCTTGCTAAATTCACTTAATGGTTCTCGCAGTTTTTTTGCAGATGTCTTAGGATCTTCCATATAAATAATCGTGCCATCTGTGAACAAGTACAGCTTTAGTTCTTTACTCTCTTTTGAAACTTGTTTTAGGGCTCAGCAGGTCTAGAGGATGCACAACGTGCACTTGGTGGGAATTTGTATTCTGCTCTTGATAGGAGTAGTTTTCTACAAATATCAATTGGGAAAAGATGCCTGGGACTATTGTTCAGATTCTTCATGTCTTTACTGATTTCTTTGGTCTTTTGTTCTAACTATTGGTGAGAGAGAGATGTTAAAGTCTCCTTCAATGATTGTGGAATTGCCCATTTCTCCCTTGAATTCTGTCAATTTTGCTTCATGTATTTTGAGGTTCTGTTATCAGGCATATTAATAACTGATATGTCTTCTTGAAGACATGACCTTTTATGAATAGAAATTTCCCTTTACATTGCTAATACTCCATATCTTGGACTCTACCTTATCTGATATAAATTTAGCCACTCCACCCTTCTCATGCTGTTTGCAAGATACATATATTTTTTGCATCTACTTATTTTCACCTGTGTTTTTATATTTACAGTGAATTTCCTACAGCCAGCATGTAGTAGAGTCTGGCTTATTTATCCATTTTGACAATCTCTACCTTTTGACTGGAGGGTTTAGTCCATCAACATTTAATGGAATTATCACTATGGTTAGGCTTAGTTCTACTATTTTATTGTTTTCTACTTGTCCCTCTGTTTTGTTTTAATATATAAAAGACATTAATGTTATAAAGCAGTGTTACCTCAATAAAGAAAATAATAAAAGACTTTATGATTATTATTCTTTTTTGGTGAGGAAGATTGGCCCTGAGCTAACATCTGTAACAATCTTCCTCTGTTTGCTTGAGGAAGATTGGCCCTGAGCTAACATCTGTGACAATCTTCCTCTATTTTGTACGTGGGATGCTGCCACAGCATGGCTTGAGAAGCAGTGTGTAGGTCCATACCCAGGATCTGAACCCACAAACCCTGGGCCACTGAAGCAGAGTGTGCAAACTCAACCACTCTGCCACCGGGCTAGCCCCAAGACTTTATTTTTTAGAGCAGTTTTAGGTTCACAGCAAAACTGAGCGGGAAGCAAGAGAGTTCCCATACGTCCCCCTCTCCTCAAAAGGCAGAGCTTCCCCTACTATCAACATCCTGCAGCACAGGGTACATTTGCTACAATCGATGAACCTACACTGACACATCACTGTTGCCCTCAGTGCATATTTACATTAGGTCACTCGATGTTGCACATTCTGTGGGCTTTGCATATAACGACATGTGGCTCAATTTAGGGCTACCGTTTCATTATTTGTTCTCGGCTTATCTCTGGTGTTTTGTTCCCCTGTCCTCTCTTTTCTCTCTTTTATATTATTTGGATAATTTAAAAATTCTCTTCCACTTTATCTTTTGGTTCTTTAGTTACACTTCTTTGCATTATTTTTAAAGTTGCTCTAGGGATAGGATTATACATCCTTACTTTTTCACAGGCTACACAGAATCAATACTGTACCACTTCATGTCAAATTAGGAAGCTTGCAACCAGGTAGGTTCACGTTCCCCTTTACTATTCTTTAGGCTACGGCTGTCATATGTATTACATCTGCATACATTACAAACCCAGGAAACGTTTTCATTTTTCTTTAAATATGTATGTTAAGGGAAACATTTCTCTCAGATATTTGCCACTTTTGATGTTCACTCATTCACAAGAGCTGAGTTTCACTCTGTCATCACTCTCTTTCAGCATTTCTGGTAGCACACATTTGATGGCAACAAATGCTATCAGTTTTCCTTTTTCTGAAAATATTTTATTTACTGCTCACTCTTGGAGGGTGCAGAATTCAGTAACAATTTTTTCTTTCAGCATCCTAAGGATGCAGTTCCACTTGCCTCTGGCCTCCATCATTTCTGATGATAAATTCACAGTCTTTGCAATTATGTGCTATATGTAATCTGTTGTTTTTCTCGGGCTGCTTTCAAGATTTTTAAAATTAATCCTTAGTTTTCAGTAATTTGAAAATGATGTGTCTAGGTGTGGTTTTATATTTATCCTGTTTGGGATTCACTGAGCTTCTTAATTCTATAAATTTATGTCTTTCACCAAACTTGGAAAAGTTTTGGTCATTGTTTCTTTTTTTTTTTTTAATTTTTATTTTTTTGAGGAAGATTAGCCCTGAGCTAACTACTGCCAATGCTCCTATTTTTGCTGAGGAAGACTGGCCGTGAGCTAACATCCGTGCCCATCTTCCTCTACTTTATACGTGGGACGCCTGCCACAGCATGGCTTGCCAAGTGGTATGTGGGTCTGTGCCTGGGATCTGAACTGACGAACCCTGGGCCACTGAAGCGGAGCACGCGAACTTAACCACTAGGCCACTGGGCAGCCCCTGCATGGCTTTTTGTTTTCAGAAACCAAAGCAACTTCGGCGGGCACAGAAGCTTCCTGAGAGCAGCATTCTTGCCGGCAATGAGCACTTGAGGGAACAAGTCCCAGAGTCTCACTCACGGGGAAGGGGTCAGACGTTTAACTGACAGATGAGACAGTCTCTGTGTGGGCCTCAGAAAAGCAAACCAAGGATGCATTAAACACACTTCATGGTGAAGAAGGTGAATCTAATTGCAAAAAGATAGATTTAAGCCACTAAGTTACCCTTAGCATTATTTTAGTAGGCCCTTTCATCTTTAAAGCGCTCCCCAAAGAATGATCAAATTCGTAATCTTCTGAGATTTATTCTCCTAGAAATGTAATTTCATGGCCTTAGAGCTTCGTCGTACAGACTGTATCTGAGGTAGAGCTGGCCTTTCATGCCCACGTTGGTCTGAGGGGCTCAAGAAGTCTCCATCTGCTGAGCTCCTGGCTCTCCAGAGGATGTGGACTTGCTCACTGCCAAGCGGCAGCCCGAATAGCACTTACATAGCCCTGACTGTGCGCCAAGCACCAGTCTGAGACACGTACACACAGTAATTCATTTCACCCTCCTGGCAACGCCTATTAGCAACCCGTTTTAAAGAGGAAACAGCGTTGCACAGACCCCACAGTGAGTACGCGGCAGGTGAGGACTGGTTCAGGCCCCTGGGTCCACAGCCTCGACTTCCCACCGCACTAAACTGGCATGTGAGGGTTCTTCAATTGGAGCCGATGCACACTGCTCGTTTTACAACATTCAACTAATATGTTTAACACAGGCGGCCAAGTACAGTACAGTTCTACAGAAATCCTCAATTTAACACAAAGGCATCCAAGACTTAATAAATAAATATAATACACCTTTAACTATTTTAAAAGTCTCCTAACTAAAGTAAAAATGACAACAGTGTGTGGAAGAATTTTCTAGCATCTGCAGAAGTAACA